GAGACGAGCTCGTATTGTAGACTACACGTGCTGTCACACGCTATTCAGTTGTTGGTGATGGCTGTTGTCACGCAATTAAAAAAAATTTGATCAAATCTTAAGTTTAATTAATGTCTTGTGTTAATCAACTCTATGAACCCATGTCATTGGCAATTTTTTTTTCTATTAAAGGGAGATAGTCACCCCTTGTTGGTTTACTTTTTAAAAAGTTATCTCCCTTTGTTTGAAGGTGGTCTGGTGTAATAAATTGTTACCTTATCAGATACCACCCGCCTGCTAAAGGTATTTGCATATCGTCTGCTGTCGCGGGGAGCTTTGATTTATACAAGTCTCTTAAGTCCAGCAGTCTATAAAATTTGAATGACATAAATTTTGATATTTTTTTTGTTTGACCTCACGGTTTGTAGTAGAGAAGGGTTCGAGTGACTTATAAGTTTCAGTTGACTGGATGACTTATGAGGTTCTGTTGACTGGATGACTTAAAAACGTCGTCTGGCTGTTTATAGCATGGTAGAGCAGGGCTTTAAAATAGGTTTGCTTTTTAAATTAATTAGCTGTTGTGAAGAAATTATGACAAGTTAGAGGCTCATTTTAGAGATTAAAGAAAAACAAGTCGAGTAAAATATAATTACTCTTGTTAATTTGTTTTTGTACCGCTTATTAATTCTAATGTTTTTTTTTTTTTTTTTTTTTTGCTAATTAATTCTACGAAAGGAAAAGTAAACCGCATTTGGGGAGAATCGTTCGCTAAAAATTACTGCATAAATTCTAGAAATCAAAACAAAATAAGTCTATGTGTGTTTCTTTTCTTGAATATATTAAAATGTTAAATTGTAAGTTGATAAAAATATAAGCTAAACGCTTTCATACTTTTCTGAAATGTGTGGGCTACCGTCTGGAAAAAAAATCAACATTTTATATTTTTTTACCATTTTCTTTTCGTTTTGTTTTGTCGAGTCTTGAAGTAAATTGAGATTTGTTACCCTTGATGTCTATTCTATGTATTCATGGGAGATAATTAGCGCCATTTTCCTTGTTGTCCTCAATGGCAATACTTTAGGATTTATGTACTACCGCCGTAAACGGATCCAGATTTTGGTATTAAAGTAAGGGGGCATCGAATTTATCAGGTTATAATGTTCAGACAAGTGTCAGATATTGCATTACCTTACAGTATGATTATTGCCTGTTCCACATTACAGAATAATTATTGCCTGCTCCACATTACAGAATAAGTATTGCCTGTTCCACATTACAGAATAATTATTGCCTGTTCCACATATCTCAAACACTTAACTTTGATCACATAGAGATATGCATCTCATAACTTTTATAGTGCGTTCACATTTGGGAGAATATGCATCAAGTTCTGAGACATTTTATTCTTAAGTACTTCACGATTGATTTTTTTACCTTCTCGTATATACGAAGTATAGAGAAAGTATTGTATTCGTGCACAAAAATCACTTGAAATTTTGACAATTTTCACCGTATTACACCTCAGTCCTTCATCACATCCGAATATAGAGGACTTATTTTAATCGGGCAAAAATTATCAATCCAGATTTATCAAAATTAAGAGGTTTTATGCGTAATCCAGTCTGAAAAACTGGGCTTTGCAATTCTGTCCGTATGTCTGTGTGTGTGTGTGTCTGTCTGTCCGTGTGTAAACACGATAACTTGAGTACCGTTATAGCTAGGTTGATGAAATTTCATATATAAGTATTTTATCAAAATCGTAGATCCGTATCAACTTTTGAGCGATTTCCGATAACCGGGAGTGGAACTTTTTCTACTTTGAATTTTTCAAAAGCCTATAACTTGAGTACTATTTCAGATAGATAAATGAAATTTCACTTGTAAGTAAAAGATCTAATTCTCTACCTGGTGTTAAATTTTGAGTAATTTCCATTGACCGGAAGTAGTAATTTACGCTACTTCCGATTTCTCAAAAAACTAATATAAATTTTTAAAGTACTAATAATATTGCGCACTATTATGCACTTTTTTATTTGGCGTTCAATTTGTGTGCAATTCTTTTGTCTACGAGATTTTATTCTATTTTTAAAACTTTAAGTATTTAAAATGGATTAAAAATCATGTCTATAGCCCGAGTTCCCATCCCCTGTTGTTTTATATAAGAATATTCGAGAAAGTTTAGGGGAGATCACTCCCGGTTTATTTAATACATTTTACACCTTCATGTAAAATGCAGTTTGTAGCAAATACGACTAATTTTTTTTAAAAAGTCTATTGATGTCATCTCGTAATTCTTTTAAATCTAAAACAATAAATAAATATGCACATCAGTAATGGGTATCTTCTGTTTCGCCAGATCCCTCAATGGGGTCACATGAATCACTGAATAAACCCCACAGCTCCTCGATCCCATACCAATGAAAGAAGTGAAACGTTGATTAAAAATCTTTAAAAACCTGTCTTTAAAATGACGTTATGGTGGTACATAATATAATGACACATTTATTTTTATTTTTATTTCTATTATACGTGATAATACATCAGAGAAGAGAATTTTTTTAAAAATAATGTGTGTGTGAATTGAGACGACGTGAACACGGTAATGATGAGTTATTTTACCAATGGTTTACGCGGCAGCTTAGATGGAACACGGCAACTGGCACCTGACTAACACACACAAAACATGAAACTTTAAAGCCGTGTTTCCACAATCTTATTTTGTACACATTTTGTACACAGCACCTGGCTAACACACACAAAACATGAAACTTTAAAACCGTGTTTCCACAATCTTATTTTGTACACATTTTGTACACAGCACCTGGCTAACACACACAAAACATGAAACTTTAAAGCCGTGTTTCCACAATCTTATTTTGTACACAGTCCTGATACGGGAAATTTATTTTCAAGTCTGCTGCAGGCCGTCAAAGATTGTTTCATTCCCCCCCCCCCCCCTCCCCGATTGTAGAGTGGTTTTTATGATTTATACGTGTCATAAATCGGAGCAGGGTTCTGATCAAGCTTGAAGTTTGGATTAATTTTTTTTTCCTGTTGTTAAATAAGGTTTGAAAATGGTGTCACATGTGTCATATAGATGTGTGCTGGTGTGTCGTGTCTGTATGCTTGTGTTTATGTTTGTTGGTGTCTGAATATAATTTTGTATGTGTGTTGGTGTGTCTGTATGTTGGCTTGTCGGAATGTGGGTGTGTCTGTGTTTGGTGTGTCTGTGTCAAAACATCACAACGCCCACCTTAAGGCTTATAAATAACGAAGCCCAGATACATACAAGTCCACAGCAAGTTTTCTTTAGATGTGACCTTGATACTGTGTGTATCATGACCTTGATGCCGTGAATATCTTGACCTTGATGCCGTGAATATCTTGACCTTGATACTGTGGACATCATGACCTTGACACTGCTATGCGTTGTACTAATAAAATTAATTAACATGTCTATACATCTCTTTGGCCGACTGTTTTATCTTACCATCATAAAAATCCCATGAATCCATTACGTGTAGTGTTGCTTTGACTAATTATTTAACCAAACAAATGTAATTTTAATTCCGAACCATAATCCTGACCCTAAGTCAAATTGTGTGCAGTTGTGCGTTAAACCAACAATGTTGTTAACATTTAAATAACAAAATAACGAACATGATCTGGAACTTCCACTAGTTACCGGTCGTGGCGACACATTTTTTCTGGTGTCACCCGGTACGGTAACCGAGGGTGTTAACCCTCTTTCTCCGACAAATTTTTTGCAGTTGTCAGTTTGATGTCACCCTTTTCCCCTACTTTTTAACCCCCCCCCCCCCCCCCCCCCCCCCCCCCCGTCCCCACCTTGTGAAGCTAAAGGTTACCTGTTCTTCTCTGATTACATTACATTGCTGATGTCTCTCACGCAGGTACAAGGCCTAATTCCAACAACTATGCGATAAATTTCTTAGTAAACAAAATCAGTGCCGGTGTTTACACGGAAATGCAGGGCTGACATATAAAGGAAATGTTGCCATAATCAAGCTGTTATGAAGTGTCTTTTCGTTTTCTTTCAAATGTCCTTATCAGGCAGAGATAAGGGGCTAGTCGGTCTGTTGTCGTAGATAGAGACACAGGGAGAGACAGTGTAGGTCTGCTGTCGTCTGCTGTCGTTTTCTGTCGTCTGCTAGGCGAGGGGGGGAATTTAACGATAACAGCTTGACTAGGATAACATTTTATTGTCAAAATTGTCAAATTGTCATTCTTCCTGGATTACATTTGCCAGATGTCATTCTGTCTGGATAACATTGTATTGTCTGATCTCATTCTCTCTGGATTACATTTTATCAGATGTCATTCTCTGTGGATTACATTTTTTACAGTCGTCATTGTGTCTGGATTACATTTCTAGCCATTGTGAGTTGATAACACGCAACTACTTTAAAAATGTTGGGTAGTCAACCAGTGGTTTTAAGTTTCCCCTCTAATTCCGTTAATTAATTCAATAATTAAATGACTGGTTGTTTTACGTTCACCGGATCAAGGTCAAGGTTATTATTGAATTAAGGTTTTTATTTCTTCTTTTTTTTATTACAACTTTTATTTTTAAACTATTTTCATGGTGTTGTTAATAGACACTCGTGTCAAGGAGACCCATATATAAAGTAGAACCACATATAAAGTAGACCCAGATATCAAGTAGACCCACATATCAAGTAGACCCACATATCAAGTAGATCCACACGTATAAAATAGACCCACACGTATAAAATAGACCCAGATATAAAATAGACCCACATATAAAGTAGACCCACACATATAAAGTAAGCCCACACATAAAGTAAGTCCACATATAAAGTATCAGCCATATTCGCGTTAGACTGACTACAGATAAAACATCCTGATCGAGAACTTCCTTATAACCGTTTGAGGAACTGAATGACATCAGGAATTGAGGTGTGATTCTAGGAAATGGAACTGGCAGATTTAAATCACGCTCAATACCAGGACTAGTACTACCTCTACAGACCCTAATCACGATGAGCAAAGATTATCTAAACTTTATTTCACCCGACGACCTTCACCTTTACACATCTTTGACATCCCTGAGGCCGGTGACACAGAACAGACAAGGGTTAGGGCTAGTTATCGTGGTTGTCATTTCTACTTTCACAAATTTATATTCCGGCTCAATATAGGTGGGGGTGGGGGTGGCTTTGACCAAGGGTTATGACAGAAACGGTCGTATTATACTTAGCGTTATCATATCCCCTATCCAGACAAAGTTAGAGGCGAATCGGCGCCAGTCTGGAGCCTTAGATCCCATCGTTACCTTGGTCTCAGCAGGTAGTTCACTAGTACTGTACAGTCTGTATGTTTTAATGTTGCTGTTCCGATGCTATAACACGCAGCTACTAAATATGTATAATGCTTTTTACGGTCGTCTAGTTACATATGTATGTCTGTATGTAGGCTACTAATTTGGACGAATATTTTAGGATGAAACTGTTTTAATGAGGATTTTAAAGTGGCGATACATGAACACATTATACACTCCTGAATACATTATTGACACCTACACACACACCTGAACACATTAAAGACACCTGAACACATTATTGATATCATAACACATTATAGACACTTGAACACAATATTGACACCTGAAAAAGTTATAGACACCTAAACACACCATAGACACCATAACACCTGAACACTGCTCAAATCTAAAACCAAAATGCTCTTTCTATTATCACACCCGTCTAACGTTGGCCGCCCCTCCTTCAGTTAATTTTTCTTTAATCACCACGCTTTCAACACGTCTAATAGATTCGCGTGTATCTTCGTCAAGAACAAATAATCTTGCGGGAAAAGAAAACCTTGTCTCACTATCTTAATAAATAATGAACAGCTAACGGTACAGCTTGTTCTAAGGTGCTGAAAGTTTGCGGATATTTTTATCTGAAAGTTATTTTTAGCTTTATCTGGGGAATCCAAGGTCCAACTTGAGAAGTGTGAAAAACATGTGAAAAGTGCCAAGAGTTGAGTTTGATTTACGCTGAAGTGTTAGCAGATTTTTGCAAATACCAAACGCCCCTCCCCCTCACTCCAAAACCCTAATTTGTTTTTTATCGGTTTTCGTGAGTAGACTTAGATTTATCGTGTTACCTAGTGGGGAGGGGGGGGGGGGGTTAAATTGATGATATTTTTTTATAATTAAAATTAGACAAAATGCGTTGGATCTCAATACTTGTGGTTAGCGGGGGGTTAATACTTATGGTGGATGTGGTGGAAATATGTGCTGTTGATGGATTGTATGGATTGGGTGGGAATATGTGCTCTACCGCTCATATAATGTTTGTAATGTTCACCACTTTACTTAATTCTGCCACTATTGTAGTGTTCTTGTGTATTTCATATATCTCCCACAAGTGTGTTAAATAGATATATTTTAAAAATCAGGCGTAATCATAACCTTAACCCGAAAAGTGACCTAACGGCCAATCGATGTCATAACCTAACAATAAACGCAACACTAATTATATCCTTAATCCCAACTCTAATGATAACATTTCAAAACATTTTATTGTTCTTGATTATGACTCTGCAACCTTGTGAAAAACGAGGGTTTTGTATGTTTTAAAAATAAATGCCAACTTTATTGTTAAAAACATGTAAAATATGTAAAAAATTATCCAGAGGTTATATTTATTTTAAAAATGTGTTTAAGTTCGGTAGGATGGTTTTAAAGGGATGGTTTTTATAGGGATGAAGTATAAGAAAAAAAAGTATGGTGACTGTATATAACGAGGGGTGAGAAATAGAGGTTTGCCGCGGGCGTCGTGTTGGTCCACTCCATCATTACCAACTCACCGCGACAAAAACAACACACCAGCAGATATTCCCGTTCGTATACACACACACGCACACACACACACACCACACACACACATGCATGTCATTCCCCATGCCTCAGACACATTAATATTTATTTCTGTAAAACTTTGAGCTAGTATATCCAGGGGCCAAGAGTTATTTTTGTCACTGATGAAATAGTGTCGCGCTGATTACTTCCCCTGAGTTGTAGGCTAGGTTTTCTCCCTTGGTAAATTAGGGCAATCCCACGAACCCTACAGTAAATATAGAATTACTAGGCTGTAGTTTGAAGCTAGTTCTAGTAGGTGGGTGAAGTTTGTTTAAGTAAACGCCTGCACCGTACACAAGTCAAGCATGCACTGAAGTGGTTTTAATTAAGGATCCGTTAATTGGATTTTTAAAAAAAAATAAGTTAAAATTTTACAGATTTAGTTAAATGTGTCTTTACAAAGCTGGCAATATCAGTGTTTCTACGTTTACATAATTCAATCTATCCCCATCCCCACACACATATACATCTACATACATACATACATATAGATATACACACATCTACTTTATTTATTCTCTCTTCCCCGCCCTTTAAGCACTGCCTCTTAATACCATACTATAACGATTGCCTTTGTTCAATGTTATGTTACTGCTGTATAATTTAACTTTTTTTTTAATCTATTTCCAGTATCGGCAAGATAAACAACGCCCCGACAGATAAAAGCGGCTCATCACGTGGCCACCCCCCACCCTCGGAGCCCCCCTGGTCGCCCTTTGACCCGCGACAGCCCTCGCGGCCCCACGAGCGTTACCATGACAACTACTGGCCATCCACCCATGGCCAGCCGCCCAAAGACAACTTCTCCGGCATGAACAGACGCCGCTCGGATGGTCAGTATCTGTCCAGCTCGCCCAGCGGCCACCACCAGCAGCAACGCCAGCTGCTCGTCACGACCAAATCCTCGCCCAACCTCGCCAAGCCGGACGTGCACGAGGAGGATGAGCACGTCTCGCCGAGGGCACCGACTCACATAGTCTCCACAAAGTCCAGCCCCAACCTGCTGGACGACCTGGGCGGCGAGTCCCGTCACCTGGACCTCGACCAGCGACTCGTGGCGCCCTCTAGCATGACCCGGTCCTCGTCTGACTACAACGTCAAGCAGGGGATGTACACATCTAACTCGGGGAGGCCGTACAACCCGGATATGTACAACCCGGATATGTACAGCCCGGATATTTACTCCCCGGATAAAAAACTCCGGCACTCGCTGCCCTCCCACAGCCTCCAGCGCTACCAGCCCGACTACGAGAACGTCAACACCCTGGTCTCGGCACCGTTAAGGAGCGAGAAGATATCCGAGATCGACGACATCGACGAGGTGACCGGCAGGGACAGTAACCCTCAGTCCCCGGAAACCAAGCCTTACAACCCGCTAGGGGGCGCGGGTCTACCCACCCGCGACCCGGCCAGCCTTAAGTACATTAAAGTCAATCAAAACCACGAGAAGTATCCCTCCTGGCCGGTCACAAAACCCAACGGCGCTTCCGAGCAGACGCAGCCAATCAACACGCGAGCTCAGTCCATGACGGACAACACCAACACAAGTAAGGAGTTTCCTCAGAAGCAAAGGCTGGCTTACACCCCCGGGCTCCGGCCCTTGCAGGAGAAGAACAGCCCCGTGGCTGAGAGAAAGGGGGACGACGGGAAGGGCAGGAACACCAGCGACCCTGGGCTCAAGTCCGAGTTTGTTTACGATAACCTCGGCCGTGTTATCAGGCGAAAGTACGACAACAACGAAGACAAGTTTGAGGAGTTCTACAAAAACTCCGTACCGGGATACCCGCCTCCCAAAATGGATCCAGACGGACACAACTTCGGGGATAAGGAGTACAATGCCCCCTCCCCTCCGGAAAGAGAAACCAAAGGCATAGACAAACAAGAGTTATCGTCCATGTTAGGGAACATCGGGGAACAGGGCTCTCAGAGGGAACCAGGTCCACGACCAGTAGGATCTAGCCAGTTCCTCTCCAGCTCCATGCAAAACGTCCGCCCGTCGAACCTGAACATTAAAAATGAGAATCTTCCGTACGGACAAAATACCCGAGTGGATTCTGGAACCAGCCCGCTGGATGCCAGCCCGATGGATAAAAACTTTCAGTCATCCAGCCAGAGGGACAACCGGTTTCACTCGGACGCTCTGCGGCCAAAGTCCTGGCAGGATCCGTACAAACAGTCGCCGCCATCTTGGCAGGAGAGGAACTATCAGGATTTCCGAGAACCCAAACAGCCCACGCCAAACTCCGCTCCCAACAACCAAAGTCCGGGCTATTCAAACCTCAGGTCGTCCTACCCTTTCAAGAATGACTCTGTTGCACACAGTGAAAGACCGGCAGAAAGTGCCGGCTCTCCCGGCTTGAATGTTTCTCGAGACAAGCAACAGCCCAGTGATAAAAATAGACCGTACATCGTCAAATCAACGCCTTACTACAACACTAGCACCCAGACCGAGATGATGCCTTACGCCATCAAGATGTCCAACCCGTCTTCTCTTGCCTCCAAGCTGAGAAACGCTGAGACACAGGTGGGGGAGTTCGGAACGCAAACTTCACCAAAAAGTGCCGACGACAATTCTAAAATGTTCGAGGAAAAATCAATCCAGGCTAGAATGTCTCGAGATTTCCAACCCCCTGACTCCGAGTTTGATAGGAAATTTCCTAAAGATGGGGGAAAGACTGAGGACGTTTTCAAATATCCGTTTGTTTCCAAATCAACGCCTTTCTCCGGCATTCAAGACATCCAGGCCAAATACGCCACGGATGAGAGTCTGGATACCGGAACGGCCAGTGCCAGTAACAAAAACGGGTTCTCCAGTCTTGGCGACAACTCCGCGTCGATTCTCCGTAAACTCTCCGAGGAGTTCTACGGCAACCGTCTCGGCATGATGCCGGAGAAACGGATGTCTTCCGCGTCGTCGCAGGAAGCGTCACCAAGACCGGACCCCGCCGCCAACATCCAGCAGCCGGGCATGCGCGAGGCCGAGTCCTACAGCAGTGTGGTCATCCACCACGACGTGGCCAGCGGCCTGTTCGGGCGAGACGACTTCGGTTCCGTTTCCAGCATTGCAGATTCTACGGCGTTTTCAGAGCCCAACTCGAGCTTTAAGAACAATGAATCCAGAACGAGACGCAGCCTTGACCCCATTTTTACTAGTCAGAAAGCCAGGTTCCAGCAGCATGACCCGAGGGTGTCGTCCTCAGTGTCCGGGTTGGGTCACCACAGAGAGTTAAGTGCCCCTTCTTCAACCAGCTATAACCCCCTTGTTGGGAGCCAGCTGTCGCCTAGCACCAGCACAAAACCCTACAACTTTCCCGTGAGAAAATCTGCGGACGCTGCCGTCTTCTCTTCCCATTCTAAAAGTGGCTCGTCAGACTCCAGGTCCACCAATAGCGGTTCTATAACTAGCACTTCCGAATCTCCGATTGGGCCTGGTGGTCAGCTGCCGAGTTCATCGACCTCTACATCCGGTCAGCCAAAACCAGCAGATGATGTTCAAAGGAAGCGTTTGGACTCGGACTCTGTGTTCGTGACGGCCGAAGATGACCTCCCGGATTACGAGTTCAACCGGAAGCCGTCGATGCGGAAAGCGTACGGCATCTATGACGAGACGGAGCGTCTCATATCCCAGAACAAACTACCAGCCAAAGCCAGTGACTCCGCGTCGCAACCCGACGGAAACACGTACGTCCCGATGTCTCGCGTCAGTAAATTCTCTGACTCCTTAGGTCTTGGCCTGATCCAGGAAGAGTCTGACAACCCGAACCTCGGCGAGGATCATTCTTCCACGGTAGTTTCCGGTTCTGAGAAACTCAACTCGGGAGTACGGACGCCCTCGGAGAAAGTTGACGAGAAGAAGAAGTACCCCTGGCAGAACGAGGCGTGGCTGAAGAAGCAAGCGGACGTCTCTAAGATGAGCAACCTAAAGAGGACGACGTCGGAGCAGATCCCCGTCATCAAAACAAACGCCAGCTTCAAACTGTCCAGCTACGACACGGACAGCGGACGGTTCCAGAACCCTGACCACGCCAAAATCCGGTCATTCCCAGGCCCCTCGCCGGCTTTCATCAACTACAAAAACAACCAGCCTGCGCATGCGCGGACCCACTCTGAAGACCTGAGCCAGAGCGAGTCGGATCTGAAGCGGCGCCAGCAGCAGGCACTCTTGTCCTTCTACCAACGTAAGACCCACGAGCACGTGCATGCGCGTGATTTCTCCACAGACTCGTCCATGTACGAGTCGATCGAGAGCACAAATTCATCCGAGTCCGTCGCGGACATCATCTCCAAGGCCAACGAAAACCTGGCCAAGAGCGCCCAGCGTGTGGACAGCATCCGGCGGTCAAACTCATCCTCCTCCCGGGGTTCCGCGGATTACATGGACATGGGCAAGTCCGACAACCGGCTACGTCGCGAGACCGAGTGGAGTCGGCTCCGGTCCTCCGGCTCTCTGAGATACAGCCCTGATCATGACCGGTACAGCCGGTCGAACAGGAGCTCTTTCGCCTCCGAGAACCACTATGAGGACATCAGCATGTTCACCCAGTCGACGCGCAGGGATTCGATCGCTGAATCCATGGATATTGTAAGTTTAGTTTAACAATATTAACAGTAGCTTTCTTATGGGTAACATTTTTTTTAGTTGCGAAACGGGTTAGTCTTTCTTTTAGTCTGTGTTTACTTTCGATGGTTTATTTTTAAGTTTCGTCTTTCTTTTACATATTTTAGAGAATTTCCTCTCTAGTTTGTACGTGTGCGGGTTTTGTTTTTATATATAATAAAAGTTTTAAAAACTATACCATCCCCTACCCCCAAAAAACCTACCCCAACCCCGTTTTGTGCTATATGTACACGTCCCCCAGGCATTAAAATGTTCACTATTTAGCGTAGTTAATTTTTATTTAATTAAATAGTCAACACAGTTAACATTTTAAATTGAAAAATCATGTTTTTTAATACTCCAATAATATAAACCGAACAAAACCGTTTGTGATTTTCTGATTCAGACACTTAAGGGAAGTAATAATGAAAAGCAAACTTTCAGCTTCGTTTTAATACCAGTTATCTCGCTTTACACACTAGTTACCCTTTTGAGAAAAATCGTCCATGTGAATGTTTGTGAGACATTGGCTTCTTATAAAATCCACGAAATAATTTTTTTGAAATTGTTACCAGATACATTTTTATTGCGTGAACATTTTTTTCCTGAAGAGTAGTGTTAACGTTAGTTTATTCTAATTCATGTTATGTTTTGTTTCTTTCGCAGAATGTTGATCCTAGCACCGCTGAGTAAGTCTCACTTTTTTTATCTAACCTATGATATCTTCAAGGGTAATGTTAGTTCTAGAAACGTTATAATCATTTGCATTATGAAGTTCTAGAAACTTTATAATCATTTGCATTATGATTGCATTGTGGGATTTTTTTTCCTACTGAATTGTCGTAACACTTAGGGTTTTTTTTCTTATAAACTACGGCAGTTGTAGTTTGTTTGCATTTAGAGTTATTAATAGAAGTGGATATCACATTTCTACACTTGTATTGATGAATGAGTAGTTTGATTGGCGTTATTTAAATCATTATATTCAATGAGGTGGAAGTGGGGGGGGGGGGGTGTTTTAGTTGTGTTCAAATCGTAATTCAAGTTTAACTTTGAGTTCGATATTTTAATTATAGGTTTGTAATATTTCAATAAAAGTATTAATTACCTTGCGTATTAATTTTTAGTGGCCAAAAAACTTTTAACAGCAGGACAAGCTTTAATTATTATTTTCAGTCTGTTTTATTGCATATGCAAGAACAACAACCGGTACACCTTCTACATCCGGTTTCTAATATAACTCAAAACTTCAATCTACGTTCGGTTCTTATTCTAACTTTGCTCACAGACATAATTTACACTGACAACGTTGAACAGATTAGATGTTTACCTACTTAAATAGGTCGAACTGGTCATTTTTTTTTAAATCCCCACATTAAACAATTCTTTCTTTCCATCTTCAGCAATCTCTACTAGCTTCTAAACTTGCTTCTTTGCATAATTAACTCGCACACACACACACACTCGTGTGAGAGTTCCCACTCCTGTACTACGTACTCACTCCCACACAGATCTAGAATAGATCTCGACTGGTTAATGAATCTCACCCTCTGCTTCCCACAGTCAATCTCGAGCGTACGGTAACTCTCTCATACTGACCTAAATCTTCGTACATAAATGTAGGTTATCTCCCTTCCCCATCCCATCGCTGTTGATTTGATCCTAAAATAACTCAAGACTATAACAGTACGTTGTTTACCTTTTAAGCTTACTTATAATAATTGCATATCGTATTGTATATATATATATATATATATATATATATATATATATATATATATATATATATATATATATATATATACAATGTCTAAATCCATATACTAATGCACATGTAAACAAGCTATGTATACCAGCAAAACGTTTGATAACTATGTTGGTGTTGTTAGGGTTACATTATAAGTAGAGCTAGCAATTTGTTGAATGACTCATATGGTTGTGTAACCCTTTTAGACAGGCTTCCTATATAATTAACTACACGTAATAAACCCACGACCCCTAGTCATCAACCCACGACCCCTAGTCATCAACCCACGACCCCTAAGCATCAGCCCACATCACCCTGAGATCAAACCCACAACTCTCACATATCAACTTCACGACCCCCACACATAAAACTCACGACCCCATAAATCAAACCCACGACCCCATATGTCAAACCCACGACCCCATATGTCAAACCCACGACCCCATATGTCAAACTCACGACCCCATATGTCAAACCCACGACCCCATATGTCAAACTCACGACCCCATATGTCAAACCCACGACCCCATATGTCAAACCCACGACCCCATATGTCAAACCCACGACCCCATATGTCAAACTCACGACCCCATATGTCAAACCCACGACCCCATATGTCAAACCCACGACCCCATATGTCAAACCCACGACCCCATATGTCAAACCCACGACCCCACACATTAACACCACAATCCCCCACTTATCAACACTACGACTCCGCATATCAACACCACAACTCCCCCCCCCCACACACACACACGTCAACACTACGACCCCCACACATCATCACCACGACCCCCACACCTCAACATAACGACCCCAACACATACACTGAATTCATTAACCAGCGAATTCCAGAACATGAGTTGTGAGGTGGGGTGGGGGCGGAAGTGAGGAAGGAAACAGTTTCTGTGTGTGTTTTGATGCTCGTATTTCTAGCACCTGTAGCCTGGAAGTCACGTGACTGGCCACACTCTCCCCTTCCCACCCCCACCCCCATCCCTCCCTCCCTCCACAGTGTGAAGTCATCGACGGTGTACAATGTGTTTGATTGTGAGCGGTGAGCATTGTTTGTATAGGGGAGTGTTCTGTTTTATGCTGCTGTAGTCTTCTTGTCTGATGCTCTTCTGACTAGGCTGTTGCCTGATCCTGTTTTCATAAGACTGTTGCCTGATGCTGTTCTGACTAAGATTTTGTCTGATGCTGTTTTCATAAGGCTGTTGTTTGATGCTGTTCCGACTAGGCTGTTGCCTGATGCTGTTTTCATAATGCTGTTGCCTGATGCTGTTCTGACTAGGCCCTTCTTTGCTGCTATAGTGCTGTTCCTTGGTGAAATTATACGCCTGTGACCAAACAGGGTTCCTCATGTTAATGTTATTTAGTGATGTTACAGCAGACCATATGGGATATATGATCTTCGTTAAATAACAGTAAGGATAAGTAGTCAGTCATTTCATATGTGTGTTTTTTTTTTGTTACACTACAATTTGTTTGGATGCTTGCATGAGGTAGCTAGTTTAGACAACATCTGGTAGTCTAGATAAGAATCTAGTAGACTTTTACTTAGAGAGTGCTTAAAAGTAAAGAAAGTACACCAAAGTAGATGTATACCTGTTTATATAGAAGTTTACTAGAGTAACATGAGTATAATTTACCAGTGATCAGTTCCAAAAACCAGACCCATCTATTCTGTATGGTGATATTTTCACTGATATAACTTTATTTTCTATTTTCCATCGCCAATACTGACGTTAAGAATAGGTGTGAGAAACAATTGAACCAAGTTCAATGTCGAACTAACAAAGTCTATTGTTATCACTATCCACATAAGTGAGATAAGGCTGGGTGGTCGCCCTTGGTGACTGGGTCGGGTGAGCAAGAAATGAAAGGGAAACAACTGCTACACATCGCTGCTATCAGAGGGTAGTGTGCTTCATAGCTGATTTGAGGGGCGGTGTGGATTACGTCATCACAACACAGTAATCGCAACATGCTTGTTACCACCCCCCCCCCCCCCCCCCCCCCCCACTACACGGCCTCTGTGTGGATTAGTCAACCGACTCGTTATTGCCGTTAGATCCCGTACCCCGTTAGGAATGACGGTGTTCTTGTGCCGTTAGCGGTTAGGGTTCTTAGTCTTTTGTCCTTACAATTTTCTCACACAAGGCGCTGAATGCTTTATAATTGGATATTTAACTCACGTGAGGGAAAACAAATGCGGCTGGGCAAAGTGCTGGACACACCTTCATACGCCGAGGTCACTGAGACAGATGGACTCTACTTCATCTGCCCCATGTATCTTGGGCACGAACGGGAAAACATAGTAATGATGTGGGGAGGGCATGCTCCTAACAAACCTGTTTCAGCTGATATATACTGTAAGTCTAACAACAGGATATAACGTTGTATAGAGAAAAAAATCGCTCATTAGCTCTTGTCAGCATTTTAACAAGCAGTGGTTTGTTGACATGCTGTCATAGCTATAAATAACATTAGAAGTGAATCGGTAAAATCCGATTTCGCCAAGTTTTCAACTTGGTGTGTCCGTGTTGACAATTTGGCCGACCCCGCCCGTGTTTGTCAACAAGGACTTGGCACAGCTCTCTCTATCTGGTCGTATCCACCCAGTCTCTCGCCCCCCTCACATCCTCCTACTCCAAGCAACCTTTACTACTGGACCTGGTCGTAAATTCCAGAAGTAGTGCGTCATCCGTAGATTAACGACGTCTTGTCCTGTCGTGTGTAGAGAGTCTATCAGTGTCGTGACACATGGAGGGGGGTGCTTTGGTCCTACAGTTGTGTCCTGCCGCTGGAACTATTTCACTGACGTACCTAATGTAAGGGGGAGTCTTTAACTGACGCACGGGACTATTTCAGTGATATAAATGTGTTAGAGGAGTCAGTTATACAGCTGACTTGTGTTGACTGACGCACTGGACTATTTCAGTGATATAACGCTGTGCTAGAGTCGCTTACACAGCTGACTTGTTGAATGGGACTATTTCAGTGATATATAACTGTGTTAGAGGAGTCAGCTGACTTGTGTTGACATTTTTCTGGTTGAGTGACACACCACATGATATCACCAGAGACACTTGAACCACTGGTAAGCGGGAATATGTCTGTCTGATTTATTGAAAGAAGTTGTACTATTTTAGTTATATTTATCAGAACTTTAATTTCACTTACACATACACACACATATAGGGCATATATATATATATATATATATATATATATATATATATATATATATATATATATATATATATATATATTTATATATTTATATATTTATATACAGAGAGAAAGAGACAAAACAGTCTCTAGAATAGTCCACAAACTTTTGTTCAAGAATTTTTAATTCTTGAAAACAACCCATGGCATTCCAGAAAATGTATAAGTCAGCCCCCCCCCCCTTATGTGGGTATATTGTATTTAATGAAACGGTATTGATTTATGCCAACCTTACAAGGATATATTGTATTGTAACCGTGTTAATCTATGCCAACCTTAGATACATATATTGTAAGGGTATTGATCTATCCCTATCTACGCTTAAATTTTCGATTCATCAAATCGTCTTATCGACGGAAGGTTTAAAGCGATTCGTGACCCTAGTTGAACTACACCATACACTATAGATCTACTCTTTATCTAGCGACTCTAAAGGTGCGCAATACTTAAGTCCCCTGGTGCGTACCAGCTTTATTTATAGCCTCCGTTGAAGGCTGTGTCCGGCCGTTTGTTTGTCTGACTCCGTGGAATGCCGTGGTCAAACATGGCCGGAGCGTTGGATGTCGGACATTTCGTCCCTCTGAACACAGTTTAATTCGGGTTAATGTTTTAATGCTTCAGCTAACCCTAACGTGTTGGGGGTGATCTTTGTTGCTGAGGGTTAAGTGTGCGTCATCATCTATGTGCAGGATGGGATGTGTCTAA